TATTGCCCTCCAGTTTCCTGGGTTCCCTGGCCGTTCCCCCCCCCCTTAGCACCAACACCATATATGGCCTTAATCGCTCTCCACTGCTCCTATTGGTCTGCTCTCCCTAACCACCCCCCCTGCCTACTTCCTATAGAAAGTAGCGCCTTTCACTTCCTAATCATTACAGCTACTGCTTTCTGCATTCACAAGCCATTCACCTGCTCTGAAGATGGAGGCGATACGTTCCTCCGAAACATCAGCCAAAACGAAGAATACACGGTGCCAAAACCCAGAAGACGACTTTCTTCATACTGAATTGTGCTTTATACATGAATTCATATACTACAAATATGATAACTATTACTATATGAACTTGATTTTCTTTTCACTTAATATATTCAAACTTGTATCTGAATTAGTATAAGTCATATACAGAGGGGTCCAAAAAAATGTACTCACTCTTTGATAGTCAATATCTTTGGAACAAAATGACATGTAGTTACAATCCTTGCGCGGAGAGAGAGAGAGAATCATTGGTAAGTGTTTGAAGTGACCACCATCATTGGCTAACCAGCGTTGATGCCGTCGATGCCGCCGGACTGCTGAGAGAACTACAGCTGTCAGCACTGTCAGTGTTGAGAATCTAATAATGTAAAAATGTTCAAGTTGGTAATAGTGATCTACTATATTCATTTGTTTTTGTTTTGTATTATAATAAAAAGTTTTTTCTCATCCAATATGGCTGTTAAGTGATATGTAAGCACGACAGAAAGAAAATCAACAGGCTGCACATGACCCTTCAATGGTTTCTCGTAGCGCGTTCAGTGTAGGTGTCTTTTGTCGATAAACTTCTNACCAGCGTTGATGCCGTCGATGCCGCCGGACTGCTGAGAGAACTACAGCTGTCAGCACTGTCAGTGTTGAGAATCTAATAATGTAAAAATGTTCAAGTTGGTAATAGTGATCTACTATATTCATTTGTTTTTGTTTTGTATTATAATAAAAAGTTTTTTCTCATCCAATATGGCTGTTAAGTGATATGTAAGCACGACAGAAAGAAAATCAACAGGCTGCACATGACCCTTCAATGGTTTCTCGTAGCGCGTTCAGTGTAGGTGTCTTTTGTCGATAAACTTCTTTCTTCAAGGTTCCCCATAGGTAGAAGTCGAGAGGTGTTAGGTCTGGAGATCGTGGTGGGTACTTAATAGCACCTCTTTGACTTATCCATCGTCCAGGTACAGTGTCATCCAAGTACGCCCTGACATCTCGATGGTAGTGAGGTGGAGCACCATCTTGTAGGTGAAAATCTCTCATCTCCAAACAGCTCTCGAATGGCAAGGAAAATCGATGTCTGAAGCATATCGAGATACACCTGACCAGTTGCGTACCTTCAAAGAAGAGAGGACCAATCAAACCACGCGATGACAGACCACACCACACATTAACACCCGGTAGATTCACTTCCTTGCCCATGTGAACGTGTGGATTTACGGGAGCCCAATGCACACAATTGTGACTGTTAACAGTACCGTTCATTTTGAATTGCGCCTCGTCAGACCAGATAACTTTCCCTGCAAACTCCTCATCCTCGCAAACCATGCCTTCAGACCTTCGATCCAGGTCGTCCTCGTACATAGCATGCAGCAGTCTTGGAATGTACACTTTCTGCTATGCAGCATTCAGAATTCGCCGTACACTTGATCGGCTTACCCCACTTTCACGTGCATACTGATTCACAGATTTTTGCGGTGATCGTGTAAAGCACTGGAAACTGGACTTGTTACTATCCGTGGTCAAGCGGCCTCCGAAGTCTAGGGGTAACCTTCCCACCTCATGACTCAAGGTACGCGGGTTCAAACCCGGCGGAGGTCGTGGAAATTTTAAGGGCTGAAAAA